TTTTTGATATCTTTCAAAAGAAGTGAGATATATAGGCTCAAAGTGGACGATCCGGGTGTCGTTCTATTAGAGGTTTTACGGTATGTGAAATTGGAAGAAATTCCATATTATAATTACAAAAAAGCAATTCCAAATTTACTTCCATTAACGTGTATTCAAGACTCACCAGACTCGAATTTCACATTTTTACTAAAAATTGAACAATTGGACAAATTGTAAAATGTAAATTGTAAATTGTAAATTGTAAAAATTGTAAATTGTAAATTGTAAATTGTAAATTGTAAATTGTAAATTGTAAATTGTAAATTGTAAATTGTAAATTGTAAATTGTAAATTGTAAATTGTAAATTGTAAATTGTAAATTGTAAATTGTAAATTGTAAATTGTAAATTGTAAATTGTAATTGTAAATTGTAAAAATTGTAAATTGTAAATTGTAAATTGTAAAATTGTAAAATGACAAATTGTAACAATTGTAAAACGATAGTAGAGAACGCCAAAAAGCCGAAAATTTAGTGGACACTATGGAAATTTATACCATGAACAAAACTGTCTCTCAATGAGGTATTACATGTTCAAAAGTTGCCCAAAGACTCTGTCAATATTATAAAAAAAAATAATATCTCACGTTTAAGACTGTTTTCTATTTATTCCGGAATTTTGAAAAAACCATTACAAAAATCCTTTTTCCAAAAAGTGCATTTTTTTGCTAAAATTTTTTCTTCTTCTTTTCAAGATTAAAATGTTTATGTATCATTTTTCTCGTATAATTTTCTACATCCTAAAAAAGTGTAATGCTCTAGCTCTATTTTGAAAAAAGCCAACTTTATCAGCTCATGTTCACATCTATCTTTCAAAAACGCAAAAGCGTTCAATGCTGTTTCTGGAACCTGTTTCAATTTTTCCTTCTTGATCTTTTGATCTACTCATTTTCTAAACTCCGTGAAGAGATTCTAATCGATCTCACAGTCCACACAAAATCGTCCGTACTTTCAACATCTGTATAAATTCTTAGATTTTTGAAAAAAAAATACAATTTCAGATTTAAGGAGCACACAAAAAATGAACATCGATCAATAAGTTTTCGGACCCCACCTCTTGTTTCTTAAAGTTTCTTTTTAGTGCTGCTTAACTTTTTTTTGTATTTTTTTCACGAAAACTCGCAATTTCAGACCCAATTCGAATCATATTTTTTTCGGAAATTTTCACATTGTTTAAAAAACCAAAAGTGACATCAAGAATGTTTTTCAAATCAATACTTCAGCAAATACTCTTATCATTCTGAAATTGCCCTTTTTATGTTTGTGATAACATTTTTTTCGATTCACTGTCTTAAAAAATTTGTATACAAACCAAAAAGAATAAAGCATTTTATTTTATTTTATTATTAGGGTGGGGAGAAAGTTTTTTCCGAAATTTTTCAAAATTTGTTTTCTAATTATCTTCATTTTTTTTCACGATCCACTAACAATGTATTCAACATTATTGACTACAACAAGCCACCTATTGGGAAGTCACTCGATGCCAGTCTTCCAGAATTCGGGCGTGTGAGAGTGAAAGAAGAGGCTCACTGCCATTTTGAGGTGGTTCAATGTTTTGAACAGTTTCTCTCTGAGGAACTGCTTGCGCAGGCGGAACAGATGGTAATTCGAAAGCGCAGTGTCTGGCGAGTATTAAAAATAAAAAACCATAGTCCTGCCCAGCTTCCGCCGTTTTGCCTGGGTGTCTTTAGTCACAAGCGGGCGGGCAATATCATGTTGAAGGTGAACGGTGGAGCGTCTCGGGCGTTTCTCTCGGAGGGCAATGGCGAAGGAATCCAGCCGATATTTCTAGGTGGAAGCTGTGATCGATGTTCCTTGCTGGATCAACTCGAAAAACATCAATCCCTTCTAATCTCAGAAGCACGAGAGCAAACACATCTTTTCATGAAATCCTGGTTTCGGTCGCACTTGGCGGGTCGCCGCCGCGAGGAATCCAAATTGCATGATGGGTGTTATTATTGCAGAGTATCCAGCTCTCATACCCTATTAACAAATAGGCCAGAAACTCTTTCCTCTGCGGTGTGAGGAGGATAGACTCATTCAATTCAGTTTCTGAAATGAAGATAGATCATAAGGTACCCGTTGAGCCATCACTCTTCGGAGACCAAGTTCGTGGGGATAATTGTTGATGATGTGGTAGTCGCAGTGGAACATTGTCTACAGTTCGTGAGTATTTCCACCTGGCTTCTCCCTCACGGCTTCAAGCAGCAGCTCGTCAAACTCAGCAAGTTTTCGATAGTGTGAGGATTGTCTTCCAGACTCGTATCTCCTGACTCAAAGGAAGCGAACCCATGGCGGACGGTGCGATCGGTGACGGTTCTCTCTCTCCGAACATTTGGGACATTTCTTTAACGGTCTCCGTCGCACATGTGCCGTATACTCAATTCGATAAATTTCGTATTCTTTTTATATTATTTATGTATAATCCTCTCCTCCATTTCTCTATTTCCTTTATCATTGCTCATTCCTAACACCCCCGCTCTCACTGTACTTTACACCCTCGAACGATCTCTCACTCTACCCAACGCTCTCTCCCCATGACGCATTCGTCCCAAGACTTTTGACTCCACCCCCAACAATTTGACGACCAGCTTGCATCATTCCATCTCTCATTGTTACATTCGTCCCAACAGGAGACGGTCGCCCAAGACCGTCCTCCACCTTTCCCCCCCCCCCCCTTTTTGTTTCTTTTTTTCTTTACTTTGTTACTTGTTATAATTTGTATACTTTGTTAACTCTTTCTTATATAAAGGTTTAATTACCCAAGTTGAGATACC